ACCTAGCCTGCAACCCAGGCATGTACCCTGACTAAGAATAGAACTGATGACCCTTTGGTTCACAGGCTGGCACTCAATCTACTGAGCCACCTCAGCCAGGGCTCTTTGTGTCTTTTTACCAAAGGAGACATAGGTATTAGGGGAACATACCTCTGAGGGAAGCCAAAGGAGTGGGGGAGGATCATTCCCAGACAGAGGTCAAGAAATCAGAGATCTGAAAATCAGAGAGAGCAGGGCCCTGTTCAGTGTTTGGTTACAATGCTTCAGTGAGATGGCAAAATGTTAGAGGAAACAGGCCCTTGGTGTACCCAGGGGGAGAGTCCACAGGCACAGGGATTCAAGCTCACCAAAAGTGACCACAGCCCAAGTGTGGGCTAGACATAGCCTGGGACAGTTATGTCTCAGCAGTAATTAGTGCAGACAGATGACAAACTACTGGAGGGACCTTCCTAATGTTTGAATCATGGACTTCTACATAAGGCCAGTGTAATCCGATAACCAACAGATTTTCCATCAACAAGAGAGAAGGACCTAGCTGATGGCCACTTTGGTAAATTTCCCTGGGTGCTCAATTCCCAAAAGGATCTCAATAAAATCAACAGATAGTATCAGGTAGCTCACCAACCAAGGAAGTTGGCACTGCAAAATACCACTTAGTGACAATTTCAGAGATACAGCTTGACCCTAAGAGGGAAATGATGAAAGATTAAACACAAACAACTTAATAACTTACACACTGTTTTTCCCCCCAAAAAATGTAACATTCACAGAGCGTTTCTAAGGAGAACTACCTTTTAAGGTTGGTTGCATTCCATAGCCAAAAGAGGCAAACTATTGATTTAGCTGCTCATGCCTGAGAAAAGGAAATGTAACTGGGACAAGCTATTTTTATTTCTTTCAACAAGCCAAACTGATAATGTGGGACAGCAGCAGTAGTCCCAGATAATGAAGTCAGGGAACCTAGGTGTGAAACCAATTCACCAATTACAAGTTATAAAGCTTTGGGTAAATTGTTTACCCTTTTTTTTAATTGTTAGAATGTTATTAAATATTGGTAAGCAAACAGGAGTGGTACACACTTTGGTTGAAGAGTCCAATTGTTCATCTTTTTGATACTTAGTTTTTGTAGTCTATAAAACACTTCCTCCTATTCCATAGGCAGGGAGGATACATCAAGATGACATGGAAAAGCATATAACATGAATTTAATGTTCATTTTTCTCCCAATTTTTTATTGAATACCACTATTTCTTTACCACAGTGCTTAAAAAACATGAACTGCTTTAAAGAGTAGTTGATATACTTTTAGTTAATGTCAAGTTACTATGGTACTTGGAAAGTTTCTGTCATCTAAGGTCTAAGTTCAGCAGCATTATTTGCCATAACAAAAACTTGGAAAAAACCTAACTATACATCAACGAAGGAAGAGATTAGTACACACACACACACACACAACTCTGCAGCCATTTAAAACGAGGAAGGCCTATATTTACTGGCACAGAAAAACATAATGAAAAAGAAAGTAGTGGTAGATATGTATAATGATCTTGCTTTTATTAAAACTGAACAGGATATATACATATATATTATAACTGTTAAAAATAGTTAAGTCTGGAAAGTGGGTTGAGGGGGAAAAATTTAATTTCCTATTTTCATTAAAATAACTACAGATGTGTTAACTGTTAAAAAAAATCCTTTTGTCCTGTTTAGGGTCATGGTAATGTCCTTCTCCACAACAGCACTTAGGACAAGAAACAGTTTTTGCCTGAAAGCAGAAATGAAGTATGTGAGTTGGGGTGAGGCTGCAGTGAAAGTCCATTTTGCTGCACACTCATTTCATTAGTAAAATATGTAGAAGACAAGGCTTTCATAGATAAGTGGATTATTTTTTCCCCTAGAGCAATGTATTATGGATAATGGAAAGGAGGGTTTTTCAACTGCATTTGTATTTTGCCATCAAGAAGGCAATGTAAACGAGTGAGTTTTTACTTTTCAATTTAGGAAAATACTAGAATTGCTTTAGCCAACTAAATTAAATATTTAGACAACACAAAGAATGCCAGAGTCAAATCACAGAATTAATTTCACTGACTTATCCTGACAAATAATAAATGGGGATTGACTTATTAGTAACCAAATACATTGGCAATATTTACTAAAGTGCCAAAAGTGGCCAGTTGGAGATAACCACATCTAAAATGAGATCAAATTTTGAGTCCATCCCTTTTAGCAGAAATAATTAAGATCACTTGGGCAGAACCAAGTTTTATTTTAATTGTTCAATTACAGTTGTCCCCATCTCCCCCCTATTACTCTCCTCTACCCTGTCTTTATCCATGTGTCCCTTATACCGGTTCCTTGAAAACCCTTCCCCTTCTTTCCCTGTTATCCCTCTCCCTCCTCTCCTCTGGTCACTGTCGGTTTGTTCTTTATTTCCATGTCTCATGAAACATATCAAATGTATGGCTTCAAGAAAATGGGGAAGACACAACTCAAAAACCTCCAGAGTGCTCTCAGGATCAACAGAGTGCTTGCATCATTCTGGTCCTCTGTGTATCAATATTAGAACACTGTGAGCTCAGTAGAAGTGTCTCCAGTCTACAGAAATATCCCAAGGAGGTTAATGAAACTGGCATATAGCCAAATACTTACCAACAAAATGACCATACTTGCTGATCTAGGCAAGCTTCTGTTTTCAGAAGTTCACCAAAGCAATCCTGGGAGATAGGTGACTGGGTCTTTCAAATTTCCAGGAAATAGTTTCATAACTTTCCTTTATACCCAGCCCCAAATATAGTTATGATAATTCATGAGTAAAGCACTGGGGCAGGTCCTTGGAGAACACGAGAAAGCCACATTCCTTGCATGATCACTACGTTTATAATCTGGTTATAAAAAAGTATTTAATAATGATGGCCCTGACATTTGAATGCTTACTATATACCAAGAACTTTCCATGCATTACCTCATTTAAACCAACAATAACCTTATGATGTAGGTACTATTAGCTCCATTCTACAGCTGAGCAAACCAGGGCTCACAGAGGCTAAGTGATTTATTAAGGGTCACACAGCTAGAATAGTGGAACAGAAATCTGAATCCAGGCAGTTTACTTCCCTGTAGTAAGTTCTGTTACAGAGGTATAAGCAAAAGAAAAACAAAGCACAGAGAGTTAAATATATTTCAAATACAGGAGGAATTAGAGGACAATGCAAGGAGTAAAAGGTATAGACACAACCAAGACAGACAGCAGGTGTAGTGAAAAAATGAACAGGCTGGTCTGTCAGTGAAGAGAATGGTGGGAAATAAGACTGAAGAGACAGCTTGAAGCCAAACCATGGAGGGTTTTCCATGCTATGCTAAGAAGTGTGGGTTTCATCCTGTAGCCAGGGGAAATAACAGGAACTTGAATAAGGAAATATGTTTCCATTTGTTAAAATTATTTTGGCATAAATGATTTAGATGGATTAAAACAGATAATTAATTAAAGACTGGTTCTATCCTGTGTTGGTGCTTGGCTGAGACCTAGCTGTGTGACTTTGACAAAGTCAATAGGCCTGCGTCCCTGCCTTCTTCATCTGGACAGCAGACACACTTAACATGCCCTTGCAGATTTCATCCAGCTCTGAAATTTTTTCAAGTCTCATGAAAAAAATTCCATTTTGAAATTCAATCTTGGCTGGTCTTAGTCTTTGGACCTGGGGCTGATTTGTAGAAACCTTGAATGTGCTTGAAATTATCATCTCAGTATTTTCATTTGCTGGGAAAATAACCAAAATTCTAAAAATTTATACAGCATTATGCTTTCTATCTTTAATACCACTTATAAATAACTACTTATAGTTTATTGTTGGGTAACTGTGACCCAGAAGAGTTTACTTTGCCTAAAGTCCTCTAGTCTTGGTGTTTTTTCTATAACCTTCTCATATTGTGGTTAGAACAGAATTAATGGAAGACTAAGTAACAATAAGGTATTTTTGAATCCATGTTGTTTTTAGAGACAGTCTGTTGCCTTTTTATACAGTATTAGCGAAGTGGAAAATGTGCTTCCCCCAATTTAGTTCAGTTGAAGTCTACCATTACAATTTCCAGTTGATCTATTCCTTAATAGGTTTATAAAAAAGAACTCTTCAAATATCTCTATAATCTATGTTATAAACCAGGACAAGGTTCAGATGGTGCAAAGATAGTCAACAAATCAACCCCATTTACTTGGAACTTTCTCAGTTATAGCATTCAAAGTCTCATGTCCCAGGAAACCTCTCAGTCTTAGGCAAACTGGGACAGTTGGTTATCCTAAGAAAACACCCATAAGCTCCAGAACTCAAGAATGTCCAAACCCTACATTGTCTTTATCTCCTAGTTCCCCATGAGGTTCCCGAAGAGGCCAGGAAACAGCAGCAAAGGGTAAATACAATGTTTTATTTGATCCTTAGTTATTATTAGACTGGGCTCATCTCAATACCTCCAGAGCTCAAAGAGAGCTGTTTGTGATGAAGCACATGGACAAATCTAGACACCAAGGGTCTCTATTACTACTTCAATCCAAATTTCAAATCTTAGAAGCTAAGATCCTTTGGTCTGCAGTAAAGCAGAAATAGAAGACTGAAGCAAAGATGAATGGGCTTATTAGGTCTTTGTGCAAGGAAGAAAGAAAAGAAAAGATGGTTTTCTTTCTCCTACTTCAGGAAACATGATACAGGAGAGAGCAACATTTGTATGGTTTATTCTTGCTGAGTGACTCTTCTTATTGGTAAACATGGCCTAGTCCATATTCTGGACTATTATTAATAGCATCTCTTCCCTAGCAGGGGAGGTAGGAGTGGGAAAGGAAGGAGAGGGGAGACCTTTTCCCCCACATGATGCTAACAAAACCAAAGTAAAAGGCAAGGAAGTGTCGCTGTGTGAATATGTGAAAACTCTTTAAGGAATCAATTTTGAAATAAATTTTTAAAATCAAAGCTTATTTCAAAGCAATAGAAGCCTTTTTAGTTTCTTTAGTAGACAATTTATTTTGATAAACTTGCTCCATAACAAAAATACAAGTGAAGAAAATTATGTTTATTTTATACAGTTCGTATTAACAATTTGTTTTGAAACTATTAATTGAAAAATGTTATAACCAATTAGAAAACAACTCTTAAAAGTTTAGGGCAATATACAGACCTTGATCACAAACTTCAAAATCTCTTGAGGTGATACAACTACTAAATTCTGTGTAGGGAATCCAACCTACACAGGCCACTTTCTTCCTTCATATACTTTTATCCTTCAAAAATCAGCTCTAAAAGACAACTTACTGTTTTGTATTGTGAAAGTAATTTCAATTTTTAGAAGATTAAATGGGTTGATAAACAGTTACTACAATCAGAGTAACTGTGGCTAGTAGTCTTTTAATAAAGACAGAATAAATGTAACATGTTCTTCCTATGAAGCCCACGATGCAAAATAATAGCTAAGCATATATGCAGAGTTAGTTTCCAATACTTTTCAGGGCCTTTCCTCTAAATCAATAGATTGTATGTCACCAGGACTAATTATTATTATACTAAAGAAATTAAACAGTGAATTCACAGAACATCAAGTAGAAATACCAAAGCTTTCGGCAAAAGAGTAAAAATTAATGAAGTGTTTGGTCATCAAGAACATTTAAAAAAAGAGCCATCCTTCAAAAACAAAACAAATGGAACAGAAAATAAGTTTATAAGAAGTAGAAGAGTCAGAAAAATTACATACACACATTAACAACATAGAACATGGATTACCTTTGGAAAGGATTATACTGAAAATTTTTAAAAATGAACTGAAGATTTTCCATGTTTACAGATGTTTAGGCATATGTAATAGGAGCTTCCAAAATTTTCAAACTAAGTCCTGTGCAAATAAAATCTACAACTAGTTTTCAGCAGATTTTACAGTGATGTTCTTAGGTATGAGAATAATGCACACTCTAAAAACAATGTAACAGACAAAAGTTTGACAAATGATTGCACTGTAAAAGTGTTTTATATACAGTTTACAAGCTACGATTTCCTGCTATAAATTAATACTGTACTATATAGTACTTACTATAGTGACCTTTTTAAAGCAACTGCTGATAGTTGTGTCTTTTCACTTACAGGATGTATAGAATTTTATATGAATAAGTCCATTTCAATGTTTGGTCTGGAAGAGTACAAAGATTTGACTTCATACACTACTTGATGGGACAGTTTTAACCCTGGGCTGACTGGTTAGAATTTCCCTCATCAGTCCTTTAATGTACTGGACCTCCAAGATGATGATGAAATTAAAGACAATTTGATGGTTTGGATAATAGATACAAATAAAACCTTAAATTTTGTCATCTTGCAATACCACTGTAAGTGAAAGAAGTAAACAGTGGGGAAGTTCTTAGCAGCTGAGAAACTCTCTCTCCCCATGCTCATGATCCAGTTAAAAATATTTTGAGACTATTTACAATAAAATTCATCTTTTGGAAGAGAAAAGCTCTTGGTTATATAAATTAATTTGAAACATACTTTGCTAACACTTTATGTCTGGTATAATGATGACAATGATAGCTTTCCTTCAAAGTGATCCATTGTGACTGAGGACTAATCAGATTCCCCTGGGAATGGCAATCCCAAATGTCCAACTGACTAGACAACACTTAGGGGGAAAGAATCCACTTTAAGCATCTTCTAAAGTTTCTTTGATACTGGAAGAAAATGTGTGACATTCACTGGTACCACTCAAGGAATGCATCATAGTGGTGGCCTACCTCTTATCCCCACTCCTGAGTGAGCTGCAACACTGGGGTTTTCTTCCACAATAAAATACTGATGAATTAACAGTGAGATACATAAACATTAAACAAGCCAGCATGGAAAGAAAACATCAGGTTCCCCCATTTTATTTTGAATAATTGAGGAGGTAGCCCCAACTCCGTTGCAATCATTCTCTAATGTATAATCTAGGTTTTTAAAAAACAATGCATTCATTTGTTGGTGTGAAGCTGTACTATATAATAGATGGACTATCCAGGACTCTACTGACGGACATTTGGGGTGCCATTTCACTATACAGAAGAAAAACTTAGCTCCACTGCCATGAAAACTTACTTTCACTGACATGAAAGACCTCTCCTGCCCCACATTTGAAACAAGAGATGATCTATAGTGTACACCTGGAAAAACTAAGCACTGAGACATGAAGGCACGGAAAGGTGGAGAAGAGAAATACTGTGTTTTAAAACTATCTGTGGATTCAAGGGTTAGCTGTAGTGCTTCTTTTAGGAAAAAAAGATAAAGCTGTAGGTAGAGTACGGTCCTTTAAAGTAAACGCAAAAATGTTAGCTGCTCCCAGACAAAGGTGTATGGCATATAAAGAAAATACTGTATCACTCAGATTTTCGGTAAAGGAGATGTATGAATAATGCTTATGGATAAAAATAACATAAATTTAATTTTAGAGCAGAGTGATATTGGTATTGTAAATATTGTAAATTAATATTACTAGTGGACTTTGTATTTATGTAAAGTTGTATGTATGAACACAGAAAATGCATTATTAATGTAACAGAGTCAGCCAGTAAAAAAAGAACCTCTGTACAACAGATAACAGTTGCCAATAATTTAAATAGTGTCAAATTCCCCAAATTACATGATCTTACTTTCTACTATCATATACAAATAAATTAACGCTACAAAGAATTTTAGCTTAACTTAAAATTGCACCTAGAAAGATATGGGATTATTTGTACCTATTACAAAAACCTGTTAAAATCAAGGGCTGTTACAAAGAATGAGGTAAACTGAAGACTCTCTCCACTCTACAGCCTTCAGATAAATGGCTTTTTTAAATTGAGTTCTAGGTTTGCACACCACAGTGTTTTGCTAGCAAAGCATTCAGAGTTCTCTTCCAGAAACTGTTTGCATGTGTGTATACAAATTTACACACACACACACACACATATATACACACTGTATACTGCATCACAAAATATATATTATATATATTTATATAAATATAATGAACATTTCCCCCACCCACCCCAGCAACATGTTTCTTAGTGTTTGATTTTTTTTATACACAGAGAACAGGGAATTTCAGAATTTTTACATACATTTTAGCAAACAAGTTTTGATCTATTGGCTTCTCGGTGCAGTATCACAACAGCAATCCCTTCTGGCGCCTCATACTACTTACAAGGAAGCTGTGAATACTAGTTTCTTAGAAAGTGAGGCCAGCCCCACAGAAACTTCTCTTGCATCCCTCTGGTCCACTGTGATTCATAAATACTTAGAATTTTTCCCCCCTCAAATGAATCATTAGACGTTAACAACGGAACAAGAGTCATAGGGCCCCGTGCTTTTCAGTAGAAAGTATTCTCCTTCACTAGGCTGCTATCACAGTGCAGATTTGACTGCCTGAATATGTGCTCAGGAGACTTAGTCAACATTGTCTGTATTTGGTTATGAAAAAGGCTCTCAATTTTTTTTAAATCCAAAGTGCATAGTGAAAACTAATCAAAGTATTTTCTTTTCAGCATCAGTTTCATCTAAGTATCTTCCTAAGCGAGGACTACTCAGATGCCTTGCCTTTGTCTTCCCCACCCTCCAAAACTAAAAAAATAAAATAAAATTTAAAACAATAAAAATAGTCAAGCAAATTAGATATTCATCAGCCTGGTAAACAAACTTTGCCAGCAAATAGAAGTCCTACTATTGTAAAGAAAATTGATAAGACAAAAAGTACATATGATGACCCAACTACTGTGTTGTTGGGTAATTTATAAGGTTGACCTCCGACTTCATTGATGTAAAATCCTATTGGAAATATTAGGGCAGCCATACAGAAAAGGATCACTGTAAAACAAACCAAAACACAACATTAGTAACATGGTTTGGTGATTAGAAAGACAAAGAAAATTGGTACAAAGGAAGTTTATAAGAAGGGTCATGGATTGGTAACATGGTCAAACCTTTTAAAATGTGAACCACCTGTCCAAAGATTTGCATATACTGCAGATTATATAATATTCCCAAAGCCTAACAATTAAGTTCAGTAAAAGTTAGGTTAGCCTTTCAAATATCAGCATTAAGAAAGGTCCCCGCGTCTACTAAGTACTTGCTTTTATTATTCTTGACCATTTAAAGTTGTGATGAGAGTTAAGTTCTGGTTATACTACTTACTAACTGTGCAATCTAGGCTCTTGTACCCTTCTGCAAATAGAATAAATGCGAGAAGTATTAGGTTGGCCAAAAAGTCCACTTAGTTTTTTTCTGTAAAATAAAAGACACACTTTTCATTTTCACCAATAACTTTATTGACTTAGGTATTATGAGTATGTCAGCTATCTCCTGCCACTGGCCTCTAGTGGGTAAAGGCCAGGGGTGCTGCTAAACATTTTCCAGTACATAAAACAGCCCCACAGCAAAGAATTATTTGGCCAAAATGTCAATGGTACCAAGAAACTTCGCAAACCACTTTTGATGTATTTGATCAATCACAGCACCTTCTTCATATACTGCATAAATCTTTTTTGTGTGTTTCAGTTGCCTTTTTACCTTTCTTGAAATAATAAAGCATAACAAGGCAAAAATGTGGATTTCCAGCCAAGATGGAGGAGTAGGTGGACACACTGTGCCTTCTTGCACAACCAAAAGAAGGACAACAACAAATTTAAAAACAAAAACTAAACAGAACTGACAGAAAATCGAACTGTATGGAAGTCTGACAACCAAGGAGTTAAAGAACAAACATTCATCCAGACCAGGCAGGAGGGACAGAGACAGGAAGGACTCTCAGCAAGGTGGCAGCTAGAGGACCGGGATGGGCAAGGCTGTGGTTGGTGGATCCAGTGAGGTGGTAGATTGCGGACTGGGCGGTCCCACATTTGTGCGCAGGTAAACTGGAAGGAACAACTGGGGAGCGAGACAGACCATGCAACCCAGAGTTTCGGTGCAGGGAAATAAAGCCTCAAACCTCTGATTGAAAACACCTGGTGGTGGGGGTTGAGGCGGCACGAGGAGAAATTCCCAGCCTCATAGGAGAGTTTACTGGAGAGACCAACAGGGTCCTAGAACATACACAAACCCACCCACCCAGGAATCAGCACCAGAAGGGCCCAATTTAATTGTGGGTAGCAGGGGACATGACTGAAAACTGGCAGAGATGGGAACAAGTGACACTGTTCCTTCTCCGGCCTCTCCCACATATACTACAATGTCACAACACAGCTACACGGGTTGCCCCACCCTGGCGAACGCCTAAGGCTCCACCCCTTACTACGTAACAGGCATGCCAAGACAAAAAAAAACGGCCCAAGTAAAAGAAGAGATCAAAGCTCCAGAAAAAATAAAACTAAGCCATCAAAAGATAGCCAACCTATCAGACACACAGTTCAAAACACTGATAATCAGGATGCTCACAGAATTGGTTGAATATGGTTGCAAATTACATGAAAAAATGAAGGCCGTCCTGGCTGGTGTGGCTCAGTGGATTGAGTGCTGTACTGTGAACCAAAAGGTGTCGCCAGTTCAATTCCCAGTCAGGATACATGCCTGGGTTGCAGGCCAGGTCCCCAGTTGGGGGCATAACAGAGGCAACCAAACACTGATATTTCTCTCTCTCTCTCTAAAAATAAAATAAATAAAATCTCTTAAAAAAATGAAGGCTATGCTAAGTGAAATAAAGGAAAATGAACAGGGAACCAAACAATGACAGGAAGGAAACCAGGACTCAAATCAAGGGTGTGGACCAGAAGGAAGAAAGAAACATTCAACCAGAATAGAATGAAGAAACATGAATTCCAAAAAATTAGGAGAGGCTTAGGAACCTCCAGGACATCTTAAAATGTTCCAACATCCAAATCATAGGAGGAAGTATCATCTGAATCAGAAGGAGAAGAGGAAGAGCAAGAAATTGAAAACTTATTTGAACAAATAATGAAGGAGAACTTCACCATTCTGGCAAAGGAAATAGACTTCCAGGAAGTCCAGGAAGCTCAGAGAGTCCCAAAGAAGTTGGACCCAAGAAGGAATACACCAAGGCACATCATAATTACATTAGCCAAGGTAAAAATGAAGGAGAGAATCTTAAAAGCAGCAAGAGAAAAGGAGACAGTTACTTACAAAGGAGTTCCCATAAGACTACCAGTTGATTTCTCAAAAGAGACCTTACAGTCTAGAAGGGGCTGGAAAGAAGTATTCCAAGTCATGAAAGACATGGACCTATATCCAAGATTACTCTATCCAGCAAAGCTTTCATTTAGAATGGAAGGGCAGATAAAGTGTTTTCCAAATAAGGTCAAATTAAAGGAGTTCATCATCACCAAGTCCTTATTACATGAAATGTTAAAGGGACTAAGAAAAAGAAGATAAAAAATATGAACAGTAAAATGACAACGAACTCACAGTTGTTAACAACCACACCTAAAACAAAAACAAAAACAAGCCCTGGCTGGTGTAGCTCAGTGGATTGAGTGCGGGCTACGAACCAAAGTGTCACAGGTTCGATTCCCAGTCAGGGTACATGCCTGGGTTGCAGGCCATGACCCCCAGCAACCGCACATTGATGTTTCTCTGTCTCTCTCTATCTCCCTCCTTCCCTCTCTAAACATAAATAAATAAAATCTTAAAAAAAACCCAAAAACAAACTAAGCAAACAACTAGAATAGGAACAGAATCACAGAAACAGAGATCATATGGAGGGTTATCAGCGGGGTAGTGGGGGGGGGAAGGTACAGAGAATAAGTAGCATAAATGGTAGGTAGAAAATAGACTGGGGGAGGTTAAGAATAGTATAGGAAATGTAGAAGCCAAAGAACTTACATGTATGACCCATGGACATGAACTAAAGGGGGGAAATGTGGGTGGAGGGGTGTGTAAGGTGGAGGGGAATGAAGGGGGAAAATGGGACAACTGTAATAGCATAATAAAGTGTATTAAAAATGTGACTTAAAAATGTTGTGTATCTTCACCTTCAATATCAAAATGGCTACACAAAAATTCACCAATTTTGATAAGTTTTTAAAAAATGCACCCTGATGTGACAGCTTTCACAATACAATCTAACAAAATTGTTTCTAATGAAGTTAAAGACACCTAAGCACTACTAGAGCCATAGTAGGGAAAAAAAAAAACAAAACCTAAATGAACTCTTTGGCCAACACAATATAAACAAAACATTATTGAGTCCCTGACACAGTGCCACATTGACAAGTGTTGAATAAACATTGCATATTATCATCTTAGTTATTATTTTGCCAGTTCTTTGCTCCTCTAAATTGATATTATTTAGAAGGAATTGGAGAAAAGGTACATGCAAGTACTGTTTACCTTACTCTGATACAAAGTCAGCTAGCAGAAAAAACCTGAGACTTCTGGGATGATTAGCAAATTGTCAGAATGGTTAGCTTTTTTCATGGACAACGTTTAAAAAACAAAACAAAACAAAACAAAACAAAACAAAAACAAGAATAACAACCCACCCATCCCAATCTCTGTCAGGTTTCTGAATACAAAGAGGTTCAAGTGGGAGAGGATGGGAAAAACTCTGCATTTTGTATACAAACACAATGAAATCTAATATTTGCTAAAATGTTTCTAGAAAAATATCAGAAAAAACACTGAGTGGGTAGGAGTAATTCCACAGGCCACTGTATTAGCAAACAGTGTGTTCCCCTGTGAGACCAAAGAAACATCCTTCTTAGTGAATGCAAGTTACCTACAGATAGGTTAGTTTTTCCAAGAAAATAGTTTATGCTTTTTGAAAGCACACTAGTTAAAAGTGCACAGTCATTCAAATTTCTCTGTAGGCAGAAACATTTCTTCAGGGTAATGTGAAGACAGATTACTATACTCACAGTACATGAAGAGTTGAAGCTTTCCATTATTATCTGAATGAGAAAAGTTTCCAAGTTAGACCTCTTCCCAGGAATACTGACAAGAGTCCTGGATAACGTATTAGCTGACAATTTTCCTAAATTATTTTTGTGTTAGTCAACAAAGTTTAAAAGTCCTTAATAAGTCAACAGAAGTCTTTTTCTGAAATAGCTCTAGAAATGCATTAAAAAGTAACATTTTCTCAAGTAATGCACTAACTTAAGAGATACATCAGCACCCTTGTTTGTTTTGCACTATTTAGGTGGATTATTTTATATTATACACATAGTCTATTTTATTTTGGGCAAACAATCACACCAAATAATTTTACATAAGCAAATTTAGACTCTTTTGGTTGTTCTGTTGTATAGTCAGCAAATAAATAACTTTATGCCAATATCCACTTATCAGTATCATCTGCCACCAATTTCTAATAGTTTTTAATGCCTTAATGATTTGGTAAGTCCAAAGAAACCACAATATAAGTAGCTCTACCTAATCTATAAAAATAATGGGATACAATGAGTTTTAAAAACAATTTGTTTCTTAATGACTAAGTTAATCTCAAAAACTAAATAATTTAGAAATACAGATATTACATGTTACTCTGTTAACTGATCTGCTGACTTTATGTCTATCCTTTCTTATTTTCCATCGTAAAATAAAAATTTATCCATTATAATGGAGTAATTGTTTAGCATTTTGCAAGACTTAATTATTTTCCAAATTGGTTAGGAAAAGCTTAATCAAATTTAAAGGAAGCAATAAACTCTTATTCAATCTAATTTTGGTTTTTAATAAAAAAAATTAGGTTCTCTATACTTCCTGAGGATACTTAATATGGGTAGATGATTTTTCTTTTAATTTTTTAAAAGATTTTATTTATTTTTAGATAGAGGGGAAGCCAGGGGTAAAGAGAGGGAGGGAAACATCAATGTGTGGCTGCCTCTCGAATGTCCCCTACTGGGGACCTGGCCTGCAACCCAGGCATGTGCCCAGATTGGGAATTGAACCAGTGACCTTTTGGTTCGCAGGCCCACACTCAATCCACTGAGCCACACTCGCCAGAGCTGGTTGATGATTTTTCTTTTAAGCTACTTCTCTGTGACCTATAAAGTTACTTTAGATCTTAGAATATTATTTTTTCTCTTTCTTTTTTAAATTGAATTTATTGGGGGTGACACTGGTTAATAAAACCATAAAAGTTTCAAATGTACAGCTCAATAAGACATCATCTAATGCTGATAATATCTATCAACTTTTGACAGTTAAGTTCTGGATCATAAATAAACCTATGAAGACATAACTTCATGTCCTCCACGGTAGTTAGAGTCAGATATCAGGTGTGTAGATGAGGTAGATGAGGGTGTAAATTACAGTGGCAAAGGAAAGGACACATCTTTGTTACTCTTTTCCCCCATATGCCAGCTCTACCATGTGTGGCTCTCCTCTGAGAGATTTTTCCACTGTGTAAACCACACAGAAAATGTTACCCTCACATTCTTACCAAAACTACAGCTTAACTGGAATAGAAACCCATACCATAGAGTTGATGATGTACAATAGTGTAACACTAGGGGGAGCCCAATTCCTCTTGGAACTGTCAACCCAGAGGAATAGCTCTAGAACAAAAACCGATGTATTTAAGGAAGCTAAAAGTAAATACAGTGCTATGCTTACCTAGATGTCATTAACTTCAAGATATATTCTTGAACTAAAAACCAAGGTACAGAATAATATAAACAGAATAAATATATATTTATGGAACACTCAAATATATACAGACATGTTTTGATGCATGGAATACCTTTGGTAGGAAACCCTACAAACTAGTAACAATGGTTGCCTCAAGGAAAGGAGTATTGGATATCTGGGTTACTGGGCCACAAATGAGACTTACTTTTCACTTGGTGACCCTTTCATAGACTTTGAATTATGTATTTTATGCATATTATTTAAAAAACTTAAATTATTTAAAAATAAAGGAAAAACAGCATACTGAGGTAACTACATATACTTAAATATTCTCTATTGAAGGGGAATGAAAAACATGATAATCCATTCTTTCATTTATTGGGTCACAAAAACAATGGCTCAGTGAGTACTTTAATACTTTCACTTATACTATTTTGCTAAATTATATGAATTTTTTACATATTCATAGCATATGCATTCCCAAATTTCAACTAAATCCAGAAACTACATCCTTCCTTGATTTTACATAAAGAATGAATTTTATCTGGACAAGTACTATACCTTTAAGTAAAGATTCTCTTTAAATTTCTCACCAATACCTTTTAATTTAGCAGCACTGTCTCTGGACCCTACCATCTAGCAAAGAACTGTCTTGGGGAGGTTTGTCTGAACTCAAACAAGATCATGACTTTGTTTACCCTTCGTGACAGCATGGATGGAGCTAGAGACTATTATGTTAAGTGAAATAACCCAGGCAATGAAATACAAATTCCATATGATCTAACTCATAGCTGGAATCTAAGGAACAAAATAAAGTAATGAGCAAATAGAGGCACAGAAATAAGGAACAGACTGACAGCTGTAAGAGGGGATGGGGGAGGCTGGGACTGGTTAAAAGAAGTGAAGGAACTAGACAAAGAACATACATTCATCACCTATGGACATGAACAATGATGTGGGGATTGACTGTGGGAAGGGCGGTGACAAAGAGGAAAAATTGGGACAACTGTAATAGCATAAACAATAAAAAAATAAAAAGATCACCTTGCCTCACATTTCTTAACAAGAATGGAGATTATTTTCTGTCAAAAGCAACTTGACCTAAATTTTAAAATTAAGGTAGACATAGAGACAAAAATAAAACAACAGAACCAGAAACATACATTAAGAGAATGATGCTCAGGAATGAATACTCCATCTTATCGTCTTTAAGGATACATTGAGTTTTAACATTAATAGGGATATGTAGGATTGTGCCTCACCCCTATCTTATGAGTTCTAAAGGAAAATATCAAGTGAAAGTAAACTATGATGTAATACTCATTGTTTAAAACTTATGCAAACCTGAGATGATTTTAAGGAAATGAAAAGTTAAATCCAGTAGTATCTGGTATAAGTCTCATCATTCTATATACCTCAGAGCAAGGTTTCTCAGCACAGCCCTATTGCCATTTTGGGCCAAAGAAGTCTTTGTTGTGGGACAATTATGTGCACTTGTAGCATGTTTACAGCCTCCTTGGCCCCTACTCACTAGGTGTCAGCAGCATCTTCCCATTAATGACAATCAAAATGTTTACAACCATTCATGAATGTCCCCTAGGGACAAACTGCTTTAGAGAGAAAGACACAAGAAAGCAGAATTACAGAGATAGCTTTTCTTTATGCATTTTTGTTTCCTTTAACTTGGGATCAACCTCTGATGTGTTTTGAAATTAAACCAATTCTGCAAAGTACAAGAGAATGTGCAATATATAAATATATCAAACCCTTGGGCACTTATTAATGGAGTAAGAAATGTTGAGAAACAATTATCAAATAACCAAATGTGCTGATTTTTCAATGGTCACATACAACTGACAGCAGAAACTAAAAATTAGTGTTATTAAAAAGCACATCAATACCTTATCTAATTTACATTTGTTATATTTTTATCTAGATTTATCTTTATTTGACATAAGATACTAATACCTTTGAGAAGTGGAAAGACTCAAGTTAATGATAGCTCTGAGTCACAGACCTGGAACACTATGCCACAATGTGAGCAGAAAAAAAATTCATTACAATAGCATTTCATACAAAGCGATTAAGGTTTTGGATGTCCTTGTCTTGTGGTGAGAATTCTGAAGAATCGATGGGACTGCGCAGTTTATCTGATGGCCATACACAAGTGGTGCTCTTTGATGATTACAGAGTCCTTATTACTGGTTCTTGATTATCTTCATAAAAATACCAGTGTGCATGCCTTTTAGACAAATTACTAGCACAGGTTACTTACTTCCAGTGAATGCTATCCATCGAGCATATTTTGTAGCTTCTCTTCGCCAGTGGGAAGCCACCAGCAAACCACATGTAACAGTCAATGAAATGATTCCCATGATGATAAAAAATAGTGTGGTGACCCACTCTGGAGGAAGCCGAGGTGGGATGCACGTTCGGTCTCGTCCATGGATTGTTTGACACTGTCGCACAAGGCCCACAGTGAGTGCTCCTGGGGAGATGCAAAAAGTGAGAATGCTTTAGTGGGTTTGGCATATCCAGGGGATATTCCCTACCAATACCCCTTTAGTTCTTAAATCATATTTCTCTCTATGTGGGTCATTCAAGCACTTAATTTCTACTGAGTCCCCCTCTCCAGCATTCTGCTATAACTTCTAAGGTAGTAATACTTGTTGTAACGTACGAAGTGAACTTAAAAACAAAAGACAGTTCATTTAATTATTCATTAAATACATACTTTTCTGAGTACTTGTGTCATGTACTGTTTCTAGGCTCTAGGAAAATAACAATAAATGAGCAATGAGGCTCCTGTTTCTTACTAGCAAAAAGAACTGGAATTTTGTATTCCCAGAACAAAGGCTCATTGTATATTATTTTATTTTGGCTGAGGAGAAAACCACTTTTCAGAAAATTGAACGCAAACTTAAAATACGTTTAAGCATACTATTCAAGTAAAGTTAAATAATGAATTAAATACTAGAACCAATATATTTTATTAATGGTAGAAGGTCTATGATATTATAATACAAGTTCTTTTCCATTATATTCAAGAAAATGTTGGGAAAACTAGTAAATTCCCCCCATTTGGTAGTTCAACAATTTTTGTACAATGTACAAGTGTTCACAACTGCCAAACCATTACTGGCATGCTTCAGCAAGAGCGCATAAAGGCATTAGTGGCGGGTCTGTGTCCATCATATTTACCAACATGCATCCAATGCTCAGTACAGTGCCTGACATACAATATGCCCTCAATAAATATATTTTTCTGACTTTGTTGAAGTATAATTGATAAATAACATTGTGTATTTTTAAGGGTACAATGTCATGATTTGATAAATATTCTAAAATGAATACCACAGTCAAATTAACACTGATCACCTCACATAAAATATAGTATAAAATAGTATTTTTAAATACAAGTATAAAATACAGTATTATAAACTACAGTCACCATGCTAAACATTATATCCTCAGAACTTATTTACCTTATGATTGAAAATCCTTACCCCCTTGATCAATATCTCCCTATTTCCCCACTCCCAAGCAATCACCATTCTGCTCTGTTTCCATAAGTTCAAGGTTCAAAATTGTTTTACAATATTTTTTGTTCCCACATGTGACACCATACAGTATTTATCTTTCCCTGGCTGGCTTATTTCACTTAGCATAATGCCCTCCAGCTTTATTTGTGTTGTCCCAAATGCCAGGATTTCCTAACTATTTTTTTATGGCTAAATAACATTATAGTGTACATATCACCATGTTTTCTTTATATCCATTTATGTGTCAACAGACATAAAGAAGATTCTACTGAAAAAAGGGGGAGAGGGCAAAGTACCTCAACAAATATTTTTCCAGAAAAGATATACAAATGGCTAACTGGTACATGGAAAGGTGCTCCACATGAGAGATCATGAGAGAAATGCCCTCAATAAGTATTAATTGAATGAACAGTGAATTTGTTCTATTTAATTTTTGTGCCTGTTATTGGGTTGGCCAAAGTTTGTTTAGTTTTTATGTACGATAGCTCTAGTAGTGCTTAGTTTTCTTTAACTTCATTTGAAACAATTTTGTTAGATTGTATTGTGACAGCTGTCACATCAGCATGCACTTAAAAAAAAAAACTTATCTAGCCCTGGCTGGTGCGGTTCAGTGGATTGGACACCAGCCTATGAACTGAGAGCTCGCTAGTTTGATTCCCCATCAGGACACATGCCTAGGTTGGGGGCCAAGTTCCTGGTCAGGGACATAAAAGAGGCAACCAATCAATGTATCTCTCATACATCGCTGTTTCTCTCCTTTTCTCCCTCCCTTCCCCCCTCTCTAAAAATAAATAATAAATTAAAAAAAACCATCAAATTGGTGAATTTTTGAGCAGCCACTTCAATAATGAAGATGAAAGAACACATCAACATTTTCAGTGAGTTACCCTTTATTATTTCAAGAAACACAAAAATGCAATTGAAACATTAAAAAAAAGAGAAGGTGCTATGACTGATTGAACATGTCAAAGTGGTTTGGAAGTTTCTTGGGACTACTGATATCGTGGCCAAATAATTCTTAGTTGTGGGGCTGCTTTATGCATTGGAAGGTGTTTATCAGCACCCCTAACCTCTACCAATAGTGGGAGATAGCAAACATACTCAAAATATCCAAATCAATAAAGTTATTGATGAAAATGAAAAAAAAATGTGTCTTTTATTTTATGGGAAAACTAAACAGATTTTTGGCCAACCCAATATTTAATAACCTGTATTTTATTACAGTTTTCTCTCCCTCCAAAATAAAAGATAAATGAGGCAGTAGTTAATTATTTGTTATTTGAAGCAGAGAGCATTTAAATACTAGTTTTCTTAGGCTGCTAACACTATCTAGTTAATTCTCTACCTTTTTGAGAGGAGGCAAATTAGGAAAATAAAGAGAAATTAGCATTTGTTTCAATATGCTAGCAAAACATATTACATTTTAGTGACATATCCACATAATAATTAGCAATCCTGAATAAAATTGGACCCAGCAATACATTAAAAAAATCATACACCATGATTAAGTGAAATTTATTCTGGGGGTGCAAGGTTGGTACAATATCTGCAAATCAATGAACATGATTACCATATAAACAAAATGAAGGATAAAAATTATATGATCATGTCAATAGATACAGAAATAGCATTTGATAAAATCAAGCACCCATTTATGATAAAAACTCTCAGCAAAGTGGGAATAGAGGGAACATATGTCAACATAATAAAGGCCACAGATGACAAACCCACAACCAACATCATACTCAATGAACAAAAACTAAAAGCATTTCCCTTAAAACCAAGAACAAGACAGGGGTATCTGCTTTCATCACTCTTATTCAACATAGTACTGGAAATGCTAGCCACAGCAATTAGACAAGAAGAAGAAATAAAAGCCATCCAAATTGGAAAGGAAGAAGTAAAACTGTCACTATTTGCAGGTGACATGATACTATATATAAAGAACTCTAAAGATTCCACCAAAAAACTACTAGAACTGATAAACTGGTTGCATTTTTATACAATCATAATGAGCTATCAGAAAGGGAAATTAAGAAAACAATCTCATTTACAGCTGCATAAAAAAAAACCCTTAGGAATAAATTTAACGAAGTAGTTAAAAGACCTATACTCAGAAAATTATAAGACAGTGAAGAAAGAAACTCAAAAAGATACAAATAAATAAAAGCATATACTGTGCTCACGAACAGAAAGAATTAACATCATTAAAATGTCCATAATACCCAAAGCAATTTATAGATTCGATGCAATCTCTATCAAATACCAATGGCATATTTCACAGAACTAGAACAAATATTTCAAAAATTTATATGGAACCACAAAAGATCCCAAATAGCAATGCAATCTTGAGAAAGAAGAAAAAAGTTGAAGGAATCACACTACCTGATATCAAACTATATCACAAGGTCATGGTAATCAAAACAGCATGGTAGGGGCATAAACATAGACACATAGGTCAATGAAACAGAATACAGTGCCCAGAAATGCACCCACACCTTGATGGTCAATTAATATTTGACAAAGGCAAGAACATACAATGGGGTAAAGACAGCCTAATCAACAAATGGTACTGGGAAAATGCGACAAAAATGTGTGGAAAAAAAAAAATGAAACCAGACCACCTTCTTATACCACATACAAGAATAAACTCAAAATTGATTAAAGAATTAAATGTAAGACTCAAAACCATAAAAATCCTAGAAGAAAACATAAATAGTAAAATCTTGAACATTGTTCATAACAATATATTTTCTGATATATCTCCTTAGGCAAGGGAAGCAAAATAAAAAATAAGAAATTGGAAGTACATCAAACTAAAAAGTTTTTGCACAGCAAAGGAAACCACCAACAAAACAAAAAGACAACCCACTGAATGGGAGAACATATTCGTCAATGATACATCTGGTAAGGGGTTAATACCCCAAATTTATAAAGAACTTAGAACACCCAACACCAAAATAACAAACAATCCAAGTAAAAAAATGGGCAAAGAACCTGAATAGACATTTCTCCAAAGAAGACACACAGCTGGCCAACAGACATGAAAAGATGCCTTATGTCACCAACCATCAGAGAAATGCAAATTAAAATCACAATGAGATACCACCTTACACATATCAGAATGGCTACCATCAATAAAGCAACAAACAAGTGACAGCAAGGATGTGGAAAAGGGCTGTGCCCTGTTGGTGGGGTTGCAGACTGGTATAACCACTGTGGAAAACAGTATGGAATTTCCTCACAAGATTAGAAATGGAACTGCCTTATGAACTAGGAATTTCACTTCTGGGAACATACCAGAAGAAACCCAAAACACTGATTCAAAGGAATATATGCACCCCTATGTTAATTGCAACGTTATTTACAACAGCCAAGATTTGGAAATAGCCCGAGTGCCCATCAGTAAGACGAGTGGATAAAAAAGCTTGGTAAATTTACTCAATGATATACTACTCAGCTATAAAAAAGAAGGAAATCTTTCTTACCTTTTGCAACAGCATGGATGGACCTGGGCAGTATTAAGCTAAGCGAAATAAGCTAGTAAGAGAATCACAAATTCATATGATTTCACTTATACGTGTACTGTAATGAACAAAACAAGCAAAATAGAAACAGACTCATAGATACAGTAAACAAACTGACAGTTGTCAGAGAGGAGGAGAGATGGGGAGCTGGTGAAAAAGGTGAAGGGAATAAGCAAAAACGGGGGGAAAAAAAACCAAACCTCCCCCCCAAAAAAACCAACAACAAGCCTCATAGACACAGACAACAGCATGATGATTTCAAGAGAGACAGGGGGGTAGGGGAGGTAAAAGAGAGTAAAGGTGGGTAAATGATTATAAAAAGAAACCTGACTTTGGATGGTGAACACACAATACAATATACAGATAATGTATTATGTAATAGAATTGTACACTTGAAACCAATATAATTTTATTAACTA